TTTCAAATTGCAACATTTCACCCAAAACGAAATATTAACTACCATAATCATCCCAATAAGAAGAGCAACAAAACCCCAGCCAATGCCTGCTGCTGACTTTGAGATGTTTTCCCTATAAAATAAAATAAATTTCTAAACTCAGCACTGCTTCCAGATGAGCAACTGACACTTTTTTTCTGGCTGACCTTATCAAAACCTTGCGTTTTCTTTTTCTTTTCTTTTTTTTTAGTGTGATTTTGCCAGAATTGGCATGTCTTTGAGCCAACCCAACTGGAAGAGCCTTTACAAGAAGGCGGCAAAGAGAATTATTTCTGTGGCTAAACCAGCCCAGATCCTTGCAGGCAATGACCCAGCCTTGATAATGTCTCAAATCATTGGTTTGCATAAATATAGTTTTGCAGGAGATGAAAATGAAAGCAATGGGGCTGTTTGCAGGTCTGCATGGAGGGTTCTGCAGGAAACTGGAAAATAAAGCCAAACTCCTGCCATCCTTCAGCCTGCAGCCAGCCACATGGACCCTCTTTGCTCTCCCAAAAGAAAACCCAAATTTCCCATTTCCCTGGCCATCCCCATCCCCATGTTGAGGACATAACATCACTCTACCATCACTTACCCACAGGCAGCAGTGAAAGACGATAACCAGCGAGAAATCAATACAATCCTCATTTTATTTTCACTTTGTCGTGAGTATGTAACAGCATCACACCCAAGTTTATGTTTGTTTAAAAAAAATAATATCATACTGCACTTTTTTTATCCCAACGTTCAGAATAAATGGTAAAAATGTAATAAATGTAAACTGCACTTGGCACCATTTGGATCAATAAATAAAATTAAAAAAAAAAAAGAGAGAGAGAAAGAACGCATTACGTAGATGGCACACTATGGTATCTAAATAAATAACATAAGTTACTTCGAATAAATAGAGAGTATCTAAAATATAGATGCATTGCATCAACTTCTGCAGATGGTCGGTCAGACCCGACAATACCGGACGGGAAATGGATTTATCTGGATGGTGCCGAGCAGAGCCGTGGGCTGGACCGTGCGCTCCCACCCTGCTCCTGCCGACGGCAGTGAAACAAGTCGCCTTTTTTCTTTTTTTCTTTTTTTTTTTCCTTTTTTCCCCCTCCTCTTGGGCCTCAAGTTTGAAGCTACGCCTTGTTTAACCAAGAACAAAAACATGTGGTAGCCCTATTTATGAAGGGAAGAAGGCTGAGGTTTTGAATACCACCGAAAAATAATTTGTCTTGATAAATTGGGAAAGTGATTTCTTCCCAGCAAGTTTCTGGACCTGTTTAAATAAGGAACTCTCCCTTTGCGAGTGCTTTCATCGAGTGGAAACAATGATGTTAGACCCATTTCCCCCTCACAGATACCAAATCGGGAGTGAGACCATGTCAGCAAATGGGATCCCAACTGATGCGAGTGACGGGTGGATCCCAGCCAGAGCTGGAGCTTCGGCCGCCTCCGGCACCGGCCAGCGTTACACAAACACAGGCGCGTACGTATATAGATGTGTATAGTAAAACACAATGAAACATCCCATAACTCATTGTCGGAGAGCCGGGATAACATAACACTCATATTTTGCCTTGTCACAACCACGAGAACGGTTTTAAACATCTCCTTGTGTTTCCAAACCCCCTGATTTTTCAAACGCTGTGAAACACCCTCATCTCCTGGGGAGTGATGCTGCTGCAAACAGCAAAGCTGCAGCAACAGATAGGCAAGCTACAAAAAAACCCCAGCCTAAAAACATCCCCCCGACAGATGTTGCACACAGTTTATTATTATTAACATTAAATAACGCATGGGATGATGAGGAAGGAGCCAGATGAGATTTTGCTGTAGCTTTGAGTAGGGAATTTTCCATCCTTTTTTGCCCTTTCTGCATTGTAGACATTCTTCCGGACAGCTCCAGCTCCTATTACAGCAGAAAGGGCTGTAGAAATGGAAAGCATTAGGGAAATATCAGCCTTTCTATTGGAACCACATTTCCATGCCCAGGCGGCAGCGAAGCGGTGCAGGACAGCACGGCTTGAGCAACGTTCCTGCAGCGGAGCTGAAGGAGCTTCATGCAGAAGACGGGCCCGAGTGAGATGCACGAAAGAAGACATGCAAGCAAAAGCCATCCTTTGGCCACGGCTGCGATGCCAAAACCTGGTCAGGGAGTTTTGTGGTTGCAAATCCCAGCTGCAACCCAGCTGCACCCCAAAAAAAAAAAAAAAAAAAAAAAAGCGGGCGCAGCGTGCTCAGCCGCCACGCCGGCAGCGGCAGACGTCAGGCACTTCCCCTGCACCTCTGCACAGGCCGGTGCTCAGCTGCCAGCAGGGTGAAAGAAAAAAAGACAAAAAAAAGATTAATTGGAGCTATTCACGTTGGTTTGTAACACACACATTGCATTGTTGTTTTTTTTTTTTTCCCAGGGCGCCTGTTTTGGGGGGTTGCAAGCTGGATTTGTGCTGTACGTGGGTGCACCTGGGGGTGTTTTGCAGCTGGAAAGTACGAGAGTGGGTCTGGGGTGCCCGAGCACCCTCCGCCTGCTCCTGAGCCCCCTCACCTCCCCACTGCTCCCAGCAAGACCCTGGTGAGAGGAGGTTCCCTTGGGCCGGGAGAGCCATCAGCCCTCTCACGTGCTCTTCTGGGTATCTGCAAATCACAGCACCCTAAATCCCTAGATATTGTAAAAAAATGCCCAAACCAGGGTGCAAACAGCCCCTTGGGGAAATGCAGCAGCTCTGACATCTCCCAGCCACCTCCTTGGGTTCAGGGGAACACAAGTGGAGGCAACTTCAGGAAAACCAGCTGTAAATCCTCCTCCGCCGGTGCCTGCTCCTGCACTGCTTCTGCAACACCTTACCTTGCTTTATTGCTCTAGTTCCTTTTTTTTTTTTTACTGGAGGCTTCTGCAACAAAACTAATTTTAGTTTTATCGTAGTGAGAACTGGAAAGCACCCAAGCCCTTGAGAGTGCAGTTATTATTATTAGATTTGGGTGCTTTTTTTTTTTTTAAAGTCAAGAGTGAGCTGCTTATCTGCCGTGAGCACGGCGTGGATCACGCTGACGGCTGCCCATCTGCTGTCCCCATCCTGCTCCCACTGCACATCCCCCAGCTGCTTATTTTGGGCCATCTTTTTAATTTCCGTCCAAACTCTCCCTCGTGGTGCTGCCGCACCTTGCAAAGCTGTTTTGGGAGCTCCGTGTACCTGCAGCGTGGCTCGAGTTTGGGCTCAGCAGCTTTTGCATCCCCCGGGGTGCAGGTTCGTCAGCCCTTGCCAGTTCACCAGCGTGTGCAATGCCCCACGGACGGGTTTCACACCCCGCACCCACGGCTGTCTTCTCCCTTTCCCAACAGCGACGGGGAAACTCTGTGTTACAGAGTGCAGGCTGCTTTCCTGGGGACGCTGGGTGTGCGGCCAGCCCTGCTGAAGGATGGTGTTTATATTGCTTCACTACATCCTGGCTCCACTCAGCCAAGAGCGGCATTTGGATGAAAAGCAAGAAAAAAAACCCCCACCAGCCTGGCCCTTTGCAGAGGTCGGGAGTGCTGCTGGTCGCCCACGGAAGATGCAAGGGGGAGAGGTGTCTCCCATCCCAAACTGAGCTGTCCTAGCCCGGGGGATGCCGACCTGCTCCCCGAAATCCTGCAGCAGCATCCCTCAGCTGTGATGGTCACCTATACAAGCACTCCTTACCGCTACCATGCTGGGATGGAGGTGCATGCGATTTTTTTTCCCCTATTTAGCTGGACCGAGGAGCTGGGACACCGTTGCGACTGGGGGGCGGCAAGCGGAGCATTTTCCCTCGCGTTGGTTAATGCCCAGGACATGACACCAATATTCTCCTTCTGTTTATGATTTGCTTTTTCTGGGAAGAGGGCCAACGGGAGAAAACCCATCAATCCCAGGCAACAAATATAGCCTGCCCAGAAAATGCAAAAGTCTGCGGTCTCATTTATTTCTCCGCAGAGTAAACAAGAGTGACACTGCTGTAAATGCGAACCGGAGCCAAACCCCAGGCCTGAGTCCCCTCTCCTGCACGATTCAAGCCCCGCCGAGGCGATGGGCAATACTCACATGCTATGGCCGGGAGAGCTGGTCCGGCTTTCGGGGGATGCCGAACCGCGGATGCTCCTACCCGCTCTGCAAACCTGGCGGAGGGCTGCGAGTGCCGTGGCTTCGCTGGTGGCCTCGTGAGGCTCTGTCACCTCCCTGGCGGTGGCAGGTCTCCAGCCTGGCTGCCCGCAGGGGGAGGATGGGAGGTTAATCCAGTTACTTCAGATTATCGCGAGTTTTAAGAAGAAAAGCCCAGGGCTGCAGGGAGCGAGGCGACGGCAAAGGGGGCACGAGCGGGTGCGGGGAGCGGAGCCAGAGCCTTTTCCCCCGAGCGCAAACCACTGTTGATGCCTCCCTGCTCCCAAACACGGGGATTTGGGGCGCCGAATTGCCCCTGGCGGTGCAGGGACCCCGGCGTGACGGTCACGAAAACCCTGGCAAACCCACCGGCGCCGTGCCGTATAGAGCAACACCCGCACAACACCCTCTGCGCACGAAAACACACGCGCCCGTCACCTCCGCCGCGTGCAGCGCCCTCGCCGCTGGCAATAATGCGACCTGTACCTGTGACGTAGGATGCGCCTCGGCGCACCCCGAGCGTAGAACGTGCCCCGTGCATGTCGCACGCCCACCGTCACCCTCCGGAGGGGCCGACAGGGACCCCCTGGGCCAACCCCCGGCGGGGACAACAGCCGCAAGCGGCCGTCACCGCTCCAACAACCGCAGCCTCCGCCGGCACCCGACAACCACGTCTCTAGTTCTGTGCGGCGAGCGGGACGGTAACGCCGAGGGACGCGCCGGCAGCTCAGTCTCTCCTCCTCCGGCCGGAGGGCTGGGGGCCCGTCCCTCTCCCCCCACCGCAGCCCCCGGTCCCTCTGCCTGGCGGCCAGCGGGATTTCGGGGCCGGGGCATCGCCTCTCCCGGGGGGGTGGCCCCGGCCCTTCACACGCAGCCGCACTCCTTGGCCGAGAGCTCGTTGACGGTGTAGTAGCGGTTGTAGGCGTCCAGGAAGGAGACGTCGTCGTCGTAGGCCAGCGGCCGGCAGCAGGGTCGAGCCCGGACCTTTTCCTTCTTGATCTTCCTCCTGCTCCTCATGCTTTTCAGCGAGAGGTCGTAGCTCCGGACGGCCGCCTCGCAGGTGCCGCTGCAGTAGCGGAAAAGCACCGTCTCATCCGACTCGTAGCCCAGGCCCAGCTCGCTGACGCTCACCTCCAGCTCCTTCAGGGCGCAGGGTTTGTGGCGAGCGCGGGCGCGCTTCCTCCGGCTGCCCGTCCGGGGGAAGAGCGGTAGCTCGTGGCCCCCCGAGTTCATGGCCTGGCTGTAACGCTCCACCAGCGCCGAAATCAGCTGCCGGATCTCCCCCTCCGTGTAGCTCTCCAGCAAGCTGCTGTCTGCAAGAGAAGGGGAGGACGTTAGCGGCTGTCCCCAGGGGTGGTGGATGTTCCCCGGGGGGGGCGGGTGGCTGTCCCCCAGGATGGAAATCCCCTGGGGAAGGTGGATGTCCTCCAGGATGGAGGTCCCCCGGGGCGGGTGGCTGTCCCCTCGTCTCCCTCTGTGCCCGGCGCCAATTGCAAAATTCATCCCTGCAGCCCGACAACGCGTGGCCGAACCGCAGCGTCTCCCAGAAGCTGCCTTTGAGATGTGCGTGAGGTGCCCAAAGGCTTTAAAACCCAAGGCCAGAGATCCCCGTGGCCTTGGGAGCCCCAGGGTGGGCACAGCCAAGCCACCCCCAGCCCGTGAGGGCAGAAAGGCGGCAGGGCAAAAAAACCCCCAAACCCCTCCTTGCCCTTTCCCTCTTCTGCCCTATTTTCTTTTTTTCTCCCTACCAGCTCTCTCCCCTGCCTGGAGCTGTCCCAAACAGCCCCTTCCACTGCACAACATCAAGTGCATGCTTAAAAGTCAACTATTTAGGGGAGAAAAAAACCCAACCCACAGTTAACTCCTGCCAAGCTCATGGGTTCCAGGTGCTGTGGCCGGGGAATGGGGCAGCCATGCTTCTCCGGCATGGCCGGATGCTTGGCACCACGGTTGGGAATATCGAAAGGACGAAGCGCCTGCAAAGAGCATCCCGGCAGGAATTAAAGATGCCAGTGCTGCTCCTTGGTGGCATCACCCCAATGTGCAAAAAAAAAAAAAAAAAAAAAAGAAGAAAACCCATCTGATCCCAACCAAGAGATGATGCTGCAGAAAAGACGTGATGGGATTGAGGAGAAACACCAAAAAATTTAATATTTGCACTGTTTCCCTATGGCCTGGGTGGAAGGGCTGCACCCCAAGACCTCTAGGTCAGCAGCCAACATGCAAACTGTCCCCAACCACCACTGGCAACTTTGTCCTAATCCTAAAGCCAGCATTAGTCCAGCTCACTGCTGGGGGAGGCACAGGAAAAGCGGAGAAAAGTGTAATTTGACAACTTGTCATCGATTTCAAAATTTCAACCCAAAAAGAAGTTCTTCTGGTTTGGAATCAAAACAAACATGCTGGAGATTTTCAGCATGCTGCCAGCGTGAAGGGGCGAGCAGTGCTGCGGGGAAGCCGCTGCCTCCCCGCGGAGCGGAGCCGTTCCCCCTCGTTTTCAGCTCCTGTTTGACATTTTGCGTTTGTAAAAATAGTGCAGAAATAAAAAAAAAAAAAAATTAAAAAAGCATATTTGGAGCTAAAAAAGCAGCTTCTTTGCATTAAGACGAGCTGTTTGCATTCAGTTTCCCTAGGTGGAGAGCTGATGTGCTTGCACCAAGGTTTGGTGCCCAGCGGCTGTGATTTTGTAGGATCCCTCACTCGCTGCCCCGAGCCCTCCCCGCTGCACCCCAAGCTCCTCTTTGACCACTCATAAAGGGGATGCACAGAAGCGAGAGATGGCGGCGGAGAAAAGCAAACAGGGAATAAACCCGCCGGGCTTTGCTTGCGAGGTGAAAGCGTGCCCCGCTGGGGTTTTGGGGCTGGATCCTGCAGGCACAGGAGCGATGGTGGCCCTGGGGCAGAAGTGCAGCAGCTTACACTGGGTGAGCAGCGAGCTGTGGCGTTGCAGGGCCCGTGGGGATCTCCGCGGAGCAGCTGGCAGCGAGGAGGAGGAGGAGGAGGAGGAGGAGGATGCCCGTGAGGAAGATGGCGAGGAAGGCAAGGGGCTGTATTTCCGGCTTCCGTTGAACATGTCTCTACAAACTAAAATGGATAACATGGAACTGAGGAGCATCGATGCAATGGCTGCAAACTTCCATACCTTCATCTTAGAGCAAGTCAGAACATTGAAACTCTGCAAAACAGGCAAAACAAATATCCTTATTACGCGGCCTTCACCCGTGGCCCCCTCTTCCCTCCCCCCATCCCCATGGCTCGGGCTGGTGGACCATCTCCCGTGGGACCACCAGCATCCCCTTGGCTCCATCTCGTCCCCTCCACCCTCCCGAGACTGGTCCAGTGTTGCAATAGGGAAACTGAGGCACAGAGATATGGTGCAGCCCAGGGCTGCGCTGCAAAGGGGAATCGGCCACGGCGGGTGAGGGCGGCTCGGGGCTGGTGGTGGCAATGGGGACAAGTCGGTGTCCTCGCCCCATCCATCCCCGACAACATTCAGCCTGGCTGGGCAGGTGGATATCCACCTCCCCTCGCCCTGGCCAGGTTTCCTTGCACCGGGGGCCGATATCACAGTGGGCAGCTGTGAGTAAGGGATGGGCAAACTCATGCCATGCCGGCCTGTGACACCTCTTTGCCCGGCACGTCCCCTTTGGGATGTGGCAAGCAGTGGAATGAGCTCCTGTCTCCATCGTCCTCCCCGCTCCCTCCCCGAGCCCCGGCGTGGTTTGATGTCCCCGTCCTTCGGCGAGGTGCGTGGAGCGCCACGAGTCCGCTCCTGCCATCGTCTCACCCAGATGCTCGACTGGAGCCCAAATCCTTCCCCTCCGGCGCACCGACACGGCAGCTCCATCAAACCCAGCCAAAATCATGAAAACCTCAGGAAAAATGAACAGGGCGGCTGGACTGTCCTGGCGCAGCTGGAAGGCTTGCGGTGGGATGGGGCACCTCGGCCACGCGGATCACCCGGGGTTGCAGCCCAGCACTTCTTCAAAGCGTAAACCCCCCCGCTGGCATTTCCCTCACAGGTGAGCCAGGCCCTTACCTTACGCCATTCAATTTTCTCCATCCAAAGCAGACTGGATCTGGTGGGATTTTACAACTGACCCTGCAGCCGGGCAGGGCAGCAGGGAATCGGGTCTGTGCTCCTGTCAATGGGCTGGCAGCCATTAAATCCCCATCAAAGACAGGCTCTGGAAAGCGGCACGGACTTGCAGCTGCCTCCTGGCCCCTTTTTTTATTTCAGCTCCTTGCAAACTCCAAACATTTCTCCTTTTTAAATAAATTTTCCACCGGGGAAAAAAAAGAGAGAAGGAAAAAAAAAACCATAACCCCAGTTTAGCAATATTTGCCAAATAGAATTTACCAGGGGAAAAAATGTTTATTTTAAAATGGAATTTGACAGGTTTGCTTTTACTGTTATTGTAGAAAACAACAAGAAGGGCTGTGAACGCTGCCTCATCGCCAGCAACCCTTTATTTTACGGGATGCAGATAATTGCACATTAACTAACAGTAATTATATGCCCTGTAGGTTACAAGATAATTGTAGAAACCAGCCAGAGTCTAAATATTTTCAACTGGGCTATAAACAATGCCAAGCTAGAAAAAGAATAGTTTTGCCATATAAGGAGGTAAGATCATGAAATCCCGCCGGGGTACAAAGCGGCGGAGCTGGCTGAGACACCGCGCCGATAAGCACCGGCAGCAAAACGTGCGTCGGGTCGAGAGTTTGCAGCCGGCTGGTGGGGAGCGCTGGGAGCACTGGGAGGGGGACGGTGCCGTCCCCATCTGCTGCCACTTCTCCTCCTGCGGATCCAAGGTCGAGCTGGTCTCCTCGTCCTGCAGGCACGGGGAGGGTGATGGAGGCCGCTGGGTGTGTTTGCATCTACTTTCATCATCATAATTAGGTGCCTTAAATTCAGATTTCTCCTCTAAGATAAAAGCAGGAGCAGGGAACAGCCACCGAAAATGCTCATTGGCATCAAACAGTTCCCGGCAAGGCAATGGGGATAGGTGCTAAGTGGTGAAGGACCGAGTTTGTTCTCAGACAGCTTGCAAAATTTAGGGAATGATGGACTCATGAAGAAATAGCAGCTTCAGGTGAAGCAGAGGGCCCAGGTTTTGGAGTTGGGGAAGGGACCCCGCTTGCAGTGATGTGTTGGACGGCAGCAGTTGGTTGTCCGGGAGGACAAGCAGCTTTCGGCAGCTGATGTTCGGGCATTTTGGGAGGTGAACTCCATGGTGGACGACCAGCAATGGGATCACACACGACCTAGAGCTCAACCTTCATCGTCACCTCCAGAGCTGTTCCCGGGGGGCTCAGCCCCCTTCGCCCTGCGCCAGGGAGGAAAGGGCTGCGACGGAGCAAGGCTGCAACACTTGATCCGTCCACCTGAGGAAGGGCCTCTGGCTTACTGCAAGCCCATAAAATTTTAGGAGAGCGGTTTCAGCCTCGCTGCACGTCCCGTAAAAAAGCCTCCTATTTCGGCAGCCAGTAATTTTGGCCCCCACCCGCTCGCCGGTGACCTTTCAAAAGACTAAAACTGTAGTTCCAATGTGCAAAACAATAAAAAAAAAAAAATTCTGGGCTTTGCCTTCAGTTTCTCTTGCTCTAAAAAGCCACAGACCACATGTGCCAACCTGTGGGGAAAGCTGAAGTTCAGGCTGAGGGAAAAGGAAAAACACACACACACACGCACACAGGAATCACAGCCGTGACTCACCCAGGACGATGTTCGAGCTGCACCCTCCCATATTTCTGGTTTCTACGTATTTTAAACCCACTCTGAGCAACAATAAATAATCACAAGGGGTTTGACGTGCTCCCTCGGACCCATCGCTGCAGGCATCGCTGCGGGGCTCTCCTGCCACTCAGGACACATTGGGTACAGCCCCACTGGCTCAGCCCCATCCTGCATCCCTCATCCCCAAAACCTCCCCAGGTGCAGACCTGTACGCAAAGGTGCCCGTGCCCTGGGATGCGCCATGCACCCTGAGCTGCCCGGAGACGGTGGTTTGCACACGAGCGTGCAAAACATTTGCAAGGAGCTGAAATGGGTGAAGCCGGCAGCCAGCGAGACTCAGCGACAGCTCTGGCCATGCTGAGCGATGCCGGGCTCCCATGGGGAAGAGGATCTGGGGCCAAACTTTCACATCTCGAGTGTTTGCTGGCAATGCCAGGCTGCTGTGAAAAAGTTGCCTATGGCTATTGCTCGGCATCTGGTGGGGCAAGTGTTCATAGAATCATAGACTCACAGAATGGTTTGGGTGGGAAGGGACCTTTCAAGGTCACCTAGTCCAACCCCCCTGCCATGAGCAGGGACACCTTCAACTAGAGCAGCTTGCTCAGAGTCATATTCAATCTGACCTTGAATATTTCCAGGGATGGGGCATCCACAACCTCTCTGGGCAACCTGTGGCAGTGTTTCTCCACCCTCATCGTAAAACATTTCTTCCTCATATCTAGTGTGAGTGTTGATGAGTCCAAGTCTTGCTCCCGCTGGCACAGCAAGGCTCCATCAAGGAAGCACCAGGCTCTTCCCAGCCTGGACCGTGCAGTGCTGGGCACGGCTGCTGCTGAGTCTTGCTGCTGCTGCTTGTTGCTCTGGTCTCATTGCAGCTACTCCACAACGCAAAGGTGCAGCCATCTCCCTGTGTCATCAGCTCCATGGCAGGATGGATATCCCATGTTCCCAGGGCCAGGAGGCAGCCCTGCCACTCAGGGTACCCCAGCCGGCACCCAGACCTGGAAAATTGCCCATTAAATCCACACTGGTGGCTCATCCCTCTTGCTCAAAGCAATTTTGGAAAAAGTGTATTGCATGGGTGGGGATGGGGCAGTTGGGTAGGGACGGGGTTTGGCTGCAAGGTAGAGGTGGGCAGCTGTCGGGGTTTAACCCCAGCAACTAAGCACCACTCAGCCGCTCTATCACTCCCCTCCTCAACTGGATAGGGGA